TTTTTTTTAAAAAAAATCCATGTGTAATTGCCATATACAAACGTCATATTAAATAAATGAAAAGGATTGTTTTTTCAGTAATTCATTTCAAATCACTTAGGTCCTGCAGGTCATAAATGTTAACTTTATTTGTAACTATTAGATTCATTTATACAGAGCGTATCTTATTGAGACCCTCTTTTAATAGAGTTTGAGAGGTAGGACTGATCAGGTTCTTTTTGGTGCCTGAGGCAAGGAACAAGATAGTATCCCCTATCCATGTAACAATTACCAAACGTCCAGGTGGATCTGACTTCCACACTAGTAATGTTCCAGCATTTTCCACTAACTGAGGCTGGCAGGCTCCTTAGGTCAGGGGGGAAAGTCAAATAGTACACTGAGGTTGGTCCTCCAGTATTTCCTGACACCCCAACATTAACAAGTGAGGCAACTGACTCACTCTGTCTGATGGAAGAGCCAATTCTGACAGCCAGTCTTGTTGAAGTCTATTTCATGATGTATTACTATTTCATAATCTCTTTTCCTTTTTATGCTATTTCCTATAAGGAAGCTAATAAAAGATGGATTTATGTTTGAGCAGTCCAAATGCTCAGAGTCTGCCTATTTTCCCTTCTGAACTAAAGCTATAATTACACCTCCATTCTTTTTACAGCCCATGTGTTTAGGAGCCACATAGAGCAATTTCAGCCTATTCCTTTCTTGGGACACATTAATTATGTGCCAGCATTGTCTATGGCAACAATCTATGCTTGAAACTCCTTGACTAAATGCTGGAGTGGAAAATGGGTTGTTCTCAGTAAACAAACAAACTGAATTCATTTTAGGAAGGAAATATAATTTCAAAATAACTTAATCAAACCATGTTATATAAAAATGTTCCATGCCTCAAAACCCAAAAGCCCTTAACTAGTACAAGGCAATTTTATTTCTAGAGACCTTGTGCCAACGAAGCACTCTGAAGGTGAATGCATAGATTTATAATGTGACTTTAGACAAGCCCTGCTGTTAATACTAAAAATTGAGATAAGAATTATTTGTGTGCAATTCTTGACATACAACTGCTTCTATTTTGATGGGTGTCTGCAAGTTTATGGTATTACAAATAATAAATCATCTGATTTCCAGCCATTTGGAGACCAGAAAATTGAGTACACATCTCTGTTGCAAAAACAAATATTGTCTACTTATCTTCATTAAAATAAGGCAGCTATTATAGAAATTATTTTACAGAGAGGAAGTTGCAGAACGCTGGGTATCCCATGTAGCAAACTGATAAAACATGTTTTGAAAGAAAAGCTGAAAATGGCTTCAGACTATTAAGCTTCAAGACTTTAACTTTGAAATCTCCATTACTGATCATACCCTGAAGGCATATTTGTCCATAATGGACTGGTTTTAAGGACAGAAGAGAGCCAGATCACAATAAAGCGTGTAGATACACCTTATTAATGAGCAGGATGTCAAACATGCCCAAAAGATTATGATCTGATATTACGAAATAGATGTTTGCTTGCACAATAAAATATATTTGCTCTCTTTTTACTACATGTCCCTGTAAAACAGAACTGGAGCACTGCAGGAGAAAGAGTTCAATAGGCAGGGGAATCTCTTTTACTGGCAGCTACTCTTCCAACAGTGGGTAAGATGGCATTGAATATATTCCTTTACAGATGAATCAACCTCTCTGTTGCAGATCTGTTCTGGTTGGCTGAAGGAATCTTCTCAGTAGTGAGGGATATGAATCAGAAGGCTGAAATCAGCCAAGATCGTTTCTCCTACCCTTCCAGCCAATGGGAATTTTTGATTAGGGATTTCTGCTCTCCCCACCAGCAGAATAAAAAGGAAGAAAAGAGGGAACAATTAGATGCCCTTACCAGACAAGCAACAAGAACAGAATCACTGTTATTTCTTTCACCTGGAGACCTGCAAAGCTGGATGAGACGTGGAATACCTAAAATGTTTTGAAAAGAACATTGATCAACAATTTATTCTGTGTGGCATATTTTCTAGATTTATCCATTTCAGTGAAAATACTGTAATGCCATAAAAAGTGATGCTAAGAAACAGGAAAGGAAAAAAAACACCCTCCCCTGACATAAAGCAAATTACAAACACTAAGAGCATTCATAGTTCTTTTTGCAAAGCCAGTGAATCTTTATTCAGGCATATCCCACTTATTTCATTCAATCAATGATGCCATTTTAAGGGATTCCTGTTTTACCATATTTAGAATAATCCCACTTGCACCCTTGAAAGCTCATACTGAGTTTTTTTATAAACAATGTTGTGTCATTTTCTTGGGCATCTGGGTTAGCATATAGCACTGCAAGTGCATTGCATTAATGCATTAATACTGCCAATGGATCTCCAAGCTGGCAACTGGGGCAATCAGTTGATTCCTAAAACAGAACTCTTTAAAAAATGAATGTCCAGTACTGGTAAATAGGCTGGCTCTTAGTTGATGTGCGATAGATAAAAGCAGCATTCCGCCAACAATGGGCTAAATGAAGTTCCTTCGATGTATAAAGGCATTTAAATACGTACAGTTGAGTTTTATGGCTGAATGTGCTACTTCAGGATCACGGCTCAGCCGGGCAAGCGTCACTGCGGCTTTTTGCTGAACTCGCTCACAAGCAGCTCTTTCTGGTGAATTCTCAAATGATGATTTTTCAAAGAGCATTTCCATTAAAACATGAACACCTACAAAGGGGTAAAATATTGCTGACAACTGTCCAAAAATGCAGTAAGAAGAATCATTGACACAAAAGTTATAGTTAAAGATGAAGCAATACATAAACCAAGCCAGTGTAACTGCAGGGGCTAAACCCAAGCCCAAAATATCCTCAACACTTCTCTTTCAAATTCTGTATGAAGGTATAATCCTCCATCATTATTCCAAGTACAACCAGGAGAATTGGTAACATTAAGAAAGTAAC